TTCAGCTTTATTAAGCAAATCTTGAAATGAAGGCTCATTCACATAGGAAACTGGAACTACAAATCGCTTCTTCTCTATTTCGCCAATGTAAACAGCTAAGAAACCTTTCGGTACATCTAAAGATCTTGAGGCTGGTTTACTAGTATTCCAAACAGATCGGCGTAGAATTTGTTTGGCAAGAACAGCAGGCAGATGTCTAGCCATGGTGTCTGTTGATTTATGTTTTCAGAAAAGAACTAATGAGAGTTTGTCGTTTAAGGAAAGGATATTAGTGGAGAATGTTGTGACTTGGTTGAGCACCAGTATCTATGTATATATAGAAGAAATAGCATGAAGGAAAAAAAAAAAAAGAAAGAAAGAAAGAAAGAAAAATCCTTCGGCATTTGGAGTGAGTGGCCAAAAATCATTTGCTGGGGTCTGCTAAGGACGTCTCATGTGGCCTGCCTTCTACTTAATCAACAACTATAAGGCAGTGAGGATTCATATCTCTCCTACTGTGTCTACATGTCTAAAAACCAGAATGCCCTACAACCACATAGATAGGCCTGATATTGTGGTCCAGCTAAAGATTGTAAATTGGATGGTGGGACATTATTTGTTGACACAACGCAAAACTGATTTTTGGAATAGGGACATACGCTTGAAAGACATGTTCAGGACAAGCAATGTATGGTATGTATACAAATAAGATTAAAGGAGTCATAGTCAAGCAAGATACAGCCAACTAGGAGAAGGAAAACTCATTAAAAGAATAGGAAGAGTTTCTATCGGTTGAATATAACATGGGAGACAGGCATGAAAGCAATGGTTGTGACTCTTCATGTACTAGCAGTCTGTAGTCCTAATAGTCACTCAAAGATTGTTTAGAAACATCAACCAATTGTCTCCAGCATACACCTAATCCAAGGTCACTTGGTTTTGCATCTTTAGACAGCATTAAATTTCCACTTATCCCATTCCAGTCAGTTTAGTATTTTAGGAGGGTTATCTTGCTTCCCAACAATCGAAACAATTAATATGGAGGGTATGAATCACTGTCGGTCTCCTCTATTTCTTGATCATTTGGAAGATAAAACCATGTGATGCTCTTAAGCTATATCATGAGCAGACCCCAGCAAATGATTATGGTTCACTCACCCTAGAGTTTACAGCGTTCCATGCAAGTGGTTTCCTCTCTATATACCAACAGTCCAACACATTTGATCACAACCAACTCAAGCAGTCACATTGTATGCTGATAGCATTTTCTTAAAACAATAAACCTTCTTAAATTTCTAGCTCTTACAATTCTTCAGCACACATAGCTCATCAAGAAGACCATGGTTGTTCGCTTGCCTGCTGTTATGGCTAAGCGAGTTTTTCGACAATCTACAGCTTCCACACCATTGGATGTTCCAAAAGGTTTCTTAACAGTTCATGTTGGAGAGTCTGACAAGAAGCTACTTGTTGTTCCCCTATCCTACTTAAACCAGCCTGTATTTCAAGATTTGGTATTTGCTAAGTAAAGCAGAAGAAGATTTCGGTTTCGATCATTCAATGGGTGGTTTGACACTTCCTTGCAATCACGAAACATTCATTGATGTCACTTGTAGCTTAAGAAGATAACAAGACAGAGCACTTCAACTAACCATGACTGCAATTTTGTACAAGTAGCTATGAATTAACGTTGTAATATTTCTTTAAAAAGGAATTAATGTGCTACAGAGGTCATAGTTTTGTATTGAAATGTAATACCAAAAGCATGAATTAGTAAATATATAATTGAATACATATTTGATCTAGCACTTTTTGAATTAGTTTTGTATAATATAATGGATTTTGCACATATCGAGACCACATATAATTCAATTTTTTTTATTGGGATTCTAAGTTTTTTTATAGCCAATTTCATAGTTCTAGTATTATGTTATTCTTTCGCATTCTAATATACCACGTAAGCACATGTGATTATATAGTAAGTTCTAACAAATGATAGCTTACCATGTGTTGCCACATCACCAATTCAATCATTCAATTTAAGCCCATCATGAAACGTAACAAGCTTTTATTGACTAGAGCACACACAAAGCAAGTTCGTTATTGGCTAGGATCCGAAACAACAATAATATAATAATAGAACTCTTAAATTGAATAGAAAAAAACAAATTTAGAATCTCAATAAAAAAAAATTAAAATTATATAGTCTTAATATGTGTAAAACTCATTATATAACTAAAGTTAAATTTCAAAACATAACTCTGAACCTCTTTTGTGTGTGTGTGTGTGTGTGTGTGTGTGTGTGTGTGTGTGTGGAGGAATAATCTTAATATATCTACTATATAAGGGAAATAAAAATAGAACATGAAATAAATAGGTATTTAATATTTCATTTCACATGCATTTTAGTTTTTGAGATATTGGTGGATACCTCCAACATCAAATCGTATGAGAAAAAAAACTATGAGAAGTAAAACGGTTAAAAAAAAAGCTATTATATCCTCCAATTCTTTATCTTCAAATTTACTCTTGGCCATGTCTTTTAATTCCTTCAATACTTTAAGGGTTCTTTTCATATCATGCCTGTTCTTTTGCAATTCCTTCAATATTTCTGCATGCCTATACATATCTTCTATTTTCAGAATTTCTTTGTTTGATGTCTCAATCTTTTTGCACCATAATTTTAATTCCGAAACTTCTCTCTTTAACTTAATAATTTTCATTGAATCCTCGATGGCTTGGATACTTCTTTTCCATTCCTGATTTGAATATCGTAGTTGTAGAAGAGAACCATTACTTTGATCATTACTTGGATTGACAACAACCTAGGATAATGATAACACAAGAGACATGACTAAAAAGATGTGCAGGTAAATATTAATAGAAATAAAAGATATTTCTTCTTTTCTTATTTTTAAAGACTGAAAATGTGACCAAAATTAATGTTTTAATAAAAAACATTAACGAGATAGAAAATAAAGATTCATTGATCATACCAATAGTAATAACAAGATTAAAGCCTATTTTGTTTTGTGGAAAAGAAAAACCTAACTAGCTTTCAAAACTTGTTCTTTTTTTTTCCTATAAGAAAAAACTATTTTAGCAACACCTATTCTAGCTTTCAAAACTTGTTCTTTCGGCTGGATCATGTAACTACTCCCATCGTTATTCTGACCTGCAAATTACATTTGGCGAGATAAAAGCGGGGCAGGGATCATGGAACTCGGCTTCTGGAGCAAACTCCAGAAATTGAATTGTAGATTAATAGGACTTTCATTTCTGTGGATGACATCGTTGCGTACAGGGATCTTGTGGACCACATTTGTCTTGTTAAGATTTTCCATTAAAATGTATTAGTTAAAAATATAAAGCCCTGGAGATCAGCAATATGAACATGAATCACCAGAATTTTTTTTTTTTTAGAAATAAAAACTTGCTAGACAAAGCCTTGCGAGGAGCATGTGAAGTGGGTGGCCGTGGCACTGCTTCTCCCTTTTTGGACCTATCTTGCATTGCAGAATATCTCGTAGGTACTGCAGTTGATGAAGTTAATTATGCTGATGATTGACTCTATAATTGTTGCCAGCCATCAAATTTGAAGACACCAGATACAATCTCTCAATATACAGAAATAAATCTGGTGTCTTCAAATGTGGCCCACTATGCTCTCAGCCTTGTTAAATGCTAACGTTTTCATTGTGGTAATGCAGAATATTGCGACATTCTTGAACATTGTTAAAGGAAGATCAACTAAAGTTGAAAAACATTAAACTAAGGAAGGCATGTTAAGGGCAAGGGATGTCTGCTTAAACAATTCAATGGCAACCTGCAACCTTATAGAAGAAATCAGATTAAGTCGCTGTACATTACAGGCTGGAGATAGGGGACATCAGGAAAAGCAGCAATTTGGTTGCTGATGTTTTAGCTAAACATGCAATGACTTAATAAGGAAATAGTTTCAGTAGAAGTGTCCTGAGGTTTTACTTTCTTTTGTCGTAGGGAAGGGACATAATGACTTGCTATGCATCGGAGAAAAGGTAAAATCAATTCAATTTAATTATTTTGGCCACTCATATAAGTGATAAGTCAATTACTTCCACACAAATCGTTTGATTCTATGACAGGAAAATATTTACATGGGATTGGGGATTCATGCAATACAAAATTGTTTTCTCTGACTAGTAAGATTGCCTCAACTTATTATCCACTCAAGCTGGAAAGAACATCAATGAAAATATCTTCTCTACAAGGAATTGTCAAACCACCCATTGGATGATCAAAACCAAGCTCCTCGTCAGCTTTACTCAGCAAATCTTGAAATGAGGGCTTGCTCAAAAAGGACACTGGAACTACAAATCGCTTCTTTTCTGTTTCTCCAATGTAAACTGCTAAGAAACCTTTTGGTACATCTAAAGATCTTGCAGCTGCTTTATTTGAAGTCCATACAGATCGGCGTAGAATTTGCTTTGCAAGAACAGCAGGCAGATGTCTAACCATTATGTTTCTTTTGATGTATCTCTGGGGAAGAGAATAGAAAAACAGAACTTACGAGAGTTCATTGCTTGATGAAAAGATATGAAAAGAGAATGTGTTGACTTGTGTTGGATGTGGCATCAGTATATGGTATATATAAAGATATAGCAAGTAGAAAAAACCCTCTTAACTTTTATAGTGAGTGGCCAAAAATCGTTTTCTGGGGTTTGCGTAGGACATCTCACTACTAATCATGTGGCCTTGCCTTCTATCTAATCCACAAGTTAGGGCAGTGAGGAGTCATATGATCATATCTCTCCTACTATGTCTACATGTCTAGAGGGTAACATGCTCTATGACCACATATATAATCCTGATTGAAGTCCAACCAAAGATTGGAAATTAAAAAGGTTGGAAAATTCAACCTCGACATAGATGGAAAACTGACTTCTGATTAGGTACAAGCTTGTGAGTCATGTTCAGGACAACCGATATGTATGACGTGTTCAAATGAAGTTTATAGAATAGTCATAGTCCCATAGACAGCAAGATTAAGTCCCATCTGGTATTGTCTTAACCTTGTACCTAATACGAAGATCACTTAGTCTTGAATCTTTGTGAACATTCAATATCCAGTTGTCCCTATGCCGAATCCGCTTATTATCTCTATCTTGTAGGCCACCTTGTTTCTGAAAATGTAGAAACAACATGGAGGATGAGAAATGAGAATCCTCTCTGTCTCCACTATTTCTTGATCAGTTGGAAAACTGGACCATGTGATGCCCTTGTGAGCTAGATCCTAAACCAACCCCAGCGTACGATTGTTATCTACTCAATCTGGATTTTAGATGATTTCTTACAAATTTGATCTCAACAAACTCATGTCTTCACATTATATTGATAAATTCTGAGTCGTTAAAGATTTTTACTTTCTTCTATAGAGAAGTATCAACAAGAAGACCATGGTGTTAGTTTGCCGTTCCTTTGATTTTTTGTTGAGAAGAGAAAAGAGAAGTGGTGAAAAAGAGAAATAGGACATCAAAACAAGGGTAATTTGAAAAAAAAAGTCATTAATCTAAACTAAAACTCGTAAAAAAAATAAGTTATTGATGAAATTAAAATTTTAAAAAATTAAAAAATTAGTTTTTCAAACAAAAAAATCAATTAATTATTTCCTGGAACTAAAAGGACTAATTTATAATTTACTTAGTAATTATGTGACAAGGAAGATTACCCCATTCTGAGGAAAATAAAAAAAAATAAAAAATAAATAAAAAAGAAAGAAAAATCCTGCCTCTGTCATTTTGCATACGAAGCCTAATTAAATTCAGTTTCCAAGCCCTGTAACTAGTAGGATTCCTAACTTAAGCCTTGGGCTGGGGATTCTTATTGGGCCTGTAGAAAAAAGAGCATAGGAAATTTGATGACAAGTAAACCCATACACGCTCATGTCCATAATCATGATTCACGTACGCTTGCTAGCTGCATGACATTTTTAAAATGTTGATTTTTTTTTTAATTGGGTGGATAATCAATTAATTATCTTGCTAATGTTTATGTTTAAGGTTTTGATCCGTATATTTGTCAGAAATAAGCATGTCAGATTTCTTTTGCAATTGCATTGCAAGGGAGAGTGTACCCAAGGATCAATATTTTTCCCATTAAAAAAAAAGATGAAAGATGAAAATAAACGAACGAATTTTACATTTATAAAGACGAAGTAAACGATTAAAATTTATATAATATTAAAATTTTGTCCCTATGTCTATTAATTCAAAATCTGTTATGCTGTAGCATTATTCTTTTTTAAAAAATTAGTTTAAACGAAAAAAAAACCAAATTTCAATTTTTAAATAAAAAACCAAATAATAATTCAGTTGAGTAAGGTTTTTATTTTTATAGATTTGGCTAACTAAAAATTAAATTAAAATTATTAAAACCCAAACAAAAAACCAAATAATCATCTTTAATAATAAGTAACATAATTTGGAAAATTTCTGCTTATTTATTCCGCAATTAGCCTGATTAGATATTGATCATAGAACCAAAAAAAAAATCATAAAAATTTTCCACTTCCCTTCTTTCGGAAAAGGATTTTAACTAATCATGAATAAAATTTTGTAGACTAACGGCAAAGACATTGCTAGTTGAATAATTTGACATTCATCAAATCAAACTGATTTTGCTCCTTCTGGAACATTGGTAAGCCCCCTTTATGATTCAAACCTGACACGTCGGTCAGAGAGAGGAAAACATGGAAGCATGGCGTTTGAGACACCAGAACGTTGCTTACTAAACGGCATTTCGCCTCTGAGCATTGTTTCTTAAACGAGTATATGACTCATTACTTTCGGACATCATGAGCTTCAAATAAACGACACGTCGTCGATGGGCAGTAGTCGTGTAAAAAGAAAAACATTACCGTAGGAACTCCTACCAAAGGCAAAGATCAACTTTTTTCTTTTTCATTAACCAAAATCAAGAAAAGTTAAAACGAAAGGAAAAACATCAAGAGGAAAATATTTCTGAATTTCATGAACAAAATTTTCAGTAATGCTTTCCTTTTCATTTTATGGTTAGCAGAGGGAAATATATGCCTCATTCTCCAGTACTACAGAGAATAAACTCTGTACATTATAGTTGTAATGTATGCTACAGCCTACAAAATTGTTTTCTCTAATCTTGTTAGCCGAACTTCAAACGAGAGGTGAGATTGACAAAGATGTCTTCTTGACAAGGGATCGTAAGACCACCCATTGGATGATCGAATCCAAATTCTTCTTCAACGTGACATAGCAGCTCCTGAAATGAAGGTTGGTTCAAGTATGATACTGGAATCACAAACCTTTTCTTCTCTTCTTCTCCAACATATACTGCAATGTAGCCTTTTCGGACATCTCTAGCGGTCGGAGATGATCCTCGAAGAATACTTTGCTTAGCTTGAAGAATATGGGGCAAGCGAATAGCCATTGTTTTGTCTCGATGTATTTGCGCTAGAACAATAATTAAGAAGATTATAAAGGGTAGAGGACAGCTCTAATACTTGAGAATTGTGAAGGTTTGAGTTGGGTTGGAAGATAACTGGGTGTTTATATATAGACAAAGTAATATGCAAGAGAAATAATTTTAATGCGAAAACTAGTGATGCTGCTTAGGTTTTTGAATGGGGTCTAATGGCAGACATGAACTTATGAGGGATCACATGGTATTGTTTTCTGACTTATCATCTAAAACAGCTTTGAAGGAAGACTGGTCATAGAACATCACGCCCTACTTCTTTTGGAAGAACACCCAACTGAGGACCCACTTGAAATTTAAGGAGTTAGCTAAGCTTAGCAGAAGGTTCGCACTTTTAGTTGTGACCACTTGCATATCACAGACATGCTTGGGACATCTAACCACTTCTCTTCACATTGTTAAGCTAGCTGAAAACGCCTAACATGGGCATTAAGAACTGAGACATAATTTGATGTAATACATTTAATAATTGAAAGCTAAGTCTTTTTTAACGCCTTCATCACTTAATAAAAAAATGCTCTTATCTGAACCAACCTGCACTAGTAAAAATCTTAAATTCTGACGAGGTTAAGATATTTAACTGAAAATGTTCAAAACCTGCAAGTTGATTTTCAAGCACAACATGTACCTTGGCAATGATCATCATAGCAGAACATGGTTTCTAAGTAGATAGCCTCAACATCTCTTTATAAGAATTGTAACAGCTGGAGGAACAAAGGTTTACAGTGCGCAAATTTTCCTTACTTTGTTTTAACTATACTGGGATGAACACAAGTTCTTCAAGGGTATTTGACATTATGCAATCAAAAGCAACTTAACTTATTTAGGCCTTTGTCTGTGATGAACTGATGTTGACACCGTAAAAGATGTTTACTTATTTGTTAAAACGGGATCAAAACATCTTGTTCATTTGTTTTCCTTTGAGGACAATGTCTACAGCAGCTTGAACAGACTGCCAAAATCCAGTTTTTTAGATGAAGAGTTTCTTGTTTTTGGTAATGGAGGAACATAATTCAAGCAACGATCATGGAGTAGCGCATTTAACGAACGTAAGAACACAAAGCAAAACTTCGTAAGAAAACAATATATATGAGAAAAAGAAGACTTTGATTAATGCTTGTGCTTTCCAAAGTGAAATACAATATCACAAAACAGCAATAATGCTGTTAAACATGTTCATTTCCTTGAGGAAGAAAAAAGGAATCCTACCGAAAGTTCGGCACATGGTAATCTTTAAGTGTCTTCTTTACAAAACTGTGTTAGGGTAAACGAATCCCACTATCTGCTTTCACGGCTAACTTAAGCAAGAAATGACATCCATGAAAATCTCTTCTCTGCAGGGAATAGTGAGACCGCCCATTGGATGATCATAACCGAATTGTTCTTCAGCTTGACTTAGCAAGTCTTGAAATATAGGTTGGTTCAAGTATGATACTGGAATTACAAATCTCTTCTTTTGGATTTCTCCAACATAAACTGCTAGGCAGCCCTTTGGAACACTTGAAGCTTGCTTAGCACGTACAACAGCTGACAAACGGAAACCCATTGTTTCGAATGGATGAGATGAGCAAGGAAAGAAATTTAAGGAGAGTTGTTGCAGAAAAGAAAAATTTAAGGAGAATTGTTGCGCAAAAGAGCTTGTGATTCTAAAGAATGTAAAGGCTTGAGTTGCTTGTGAGATGTGAACCTAAATACGTTGGTATTTATAGATGTAAAGGATTTACAAGATAGAAATCCCCTAATGCAAGAAGCTGGTGGTCAAGAGGTCCTTGCATGTGTTCTAGTCAGGAAATTAGTTCTTGAGCCATCACATGGTTCTGTCTTCAACCTAATTATCAAGAATTCACGTCTGACTGACCACCATTCATTTCTGTGAAACATTACGACCCCATTGCTTCTGTGAACTATATAGGTCTACATCAATTTTAAGCTATTTAAAGAGGACATATAATACTAATTACCCAATCACAACATATCTGATACACTAATTTTAATATGAATAAATAAATTTGCTGGACAGGACACCATGAAGTTCACATGGCCATGCCCCACTGCCGGTACTGATGATTAGCCACCTCGATGTATCATTGTAAGGGGATGCTTTCACTTTAGGAGGGATCACCAACAATGAAAAAGCAGACCTCTTGAAAATGATCAGTACTTATTTATCAAACTAGACTTAGCTTTCAAATAATCAGATCAGGAAAGGATCAAGGCTTCTATGTTATGCTTCTGCAAATTAAAATCCATATTGTGGCTGAGACTACGAGAGCAGTCTAAGTAGACAGCTTCCAAGAACAACTGTTCAGAGTGCTGAAGAAGCATGAATCTTCTCATCGGGACATTACGCGAAGTGAAGAATTCAGATTGTAACCATAAGGATAAGGCGATGCGGCAGAAAAAGAGATAGCTACAGGATTATTTCCTGCTTATCTGCTCCACTTTAAGGTCTTGGTGAAAGAATGAAAAATAGATTATACGAAATTTCCTACTTTCCTGAAACAATTTTGTGGAGTAGCAAGCATTGCCAATTCACTGTAATATATTGTGGATTAATATAAAATAGCTAGAAACCACATAAAAATTAATGAGATAAATTAATTATTTCATATAATCTATTTTTCATTCATTCTTCAGAACCTAGCTAACTCATAGCATTGTGAGATAATTATAATCCTGATGATAAAACAGAACAATTTGAAATTGATCAAATCCAAATGATTTTTTGCTCTTTTTTGGTATGCACATTGAAAAAGTCCCCTTATCCTGCATACCTAACAGGTCGGTCACTCTCTGTCAGAAAAAGCAAAAGATGGACAGCAAGTTGTTTGAGAAGCCCAATTAATGTTGTTTAATGGCTGTCGTCTATAATCATTACTTCATTAACTATGTCTTTACAGTCATACATCTCATGAACTTCTGGAAAAAATGGTATGTCGTTCAAGAGTATTGCTCATTTGAACGGCATAATGTTTTATGCAAAAAGAAAAACACTACTGCATGAACTCTTTTCAAGGCAAAGATCAAGCATTTTTTTTTATTGACCAAGATCAAACAAAGTTAAAATGGAAGGCAAAACATGGGAAATATTTCTGGATCTCATAAAAAAAAAAATCAGTGATGCTTTCCTTTCATTTATAAAACAAAGCTTTATCCATGGTTAATGGAGGGAAACACGTCTCATTCTCCTGGAATAGAGAGAGTATGTACTGTACATATATGATATTTGTAATGTATGCTATAGCCTACAAAACTTTTTTCTCTAATATATGTTAGTTCTTCAACCGATAGGTGAGATCAACGAAGATGTCTTCTCGACAAGGGATCGTAAGACCACCCATTGGATGATCAAATCCAAACTCTTCTTCAGCTTGACGTAGTAGCTTCTGAAATGAAGGTTGGTTCAAGTATGAAACTGGAATCACATATCTTTTCTTCTCTTCTTCTCCAACATATACTGCAAAGTAGCCTCTTCTGACATCTGTAGCTGGACATGACCCTTGAATAATGTTATGCTTAGCTTGAAGAATACGAGGCAAGCGAATAGCCATCATTTTGTTTGGATGTGTGTGTACTTGGAATAATAAGAAGATTATAAAGTTTTTAGTATAGAAATGAGAACTCTGACACTTGATGAGAATGTGAAGGCTGCAATATTTTTGTGTATATATAGATGAAGTATATGGAAGGAAAATAATTTTTAAGGGGATCCAGTGGTGCATAGGCATCTCAATAGGGTCTAATGGCAGACAGGAGCTTATGAAGGATCACATGGTATTGTTTTCCGACTCATCATCAAGAAGAACTCCGAAACAAGACTGGTCATAGAACATCATGCCCCACTTCTTTTGGGAAAACGCCGAACTCAGGACCCACTTGAAATTTAAGGAGTCAGCTTAGCAGAAGTCTGAAGGCTTAATTTTTTGTAGTGTAGTTCTGACCACTTGCATATCACAGACATGCTTGGGACATCTAACCTCTTCTCTTCACATTGCTAAGCTAACTGAAAACACCTAGCATGAACATTAAGAGCTGAGACAATAATTTGATGTAATACATTTAATAATTGTAAGCTAAGTTTTTCTAACATCTTCATTAATTATTAAGCAAATGGTGTTATCCTGAACTGAACCGAACTGGTAAAATTTCTAAATTCTGACAAGGTTAAATTATTTAAGTGAAAATGTTAGAATCCTGGAAGCTGATCTTTAAGCATATCATATACTTGGTGCTGAAAACTATAGCTGAAAGTGGTGCTTAAAAATAAGCCTGATCAACATCATTCGCATATGAATTCGTAACTGCTGACAGTAAAGTTTCCCGTCTTGTTTTAACTAGACTAGTACAAAAACAAGTTTTTGATAATGTCTCATCAGAAGGAATATTGGCTAATTCAGGGTTTTGTCTGTGAAGATGAACTGATGCTGTTTTGTAAATGGTGCTCCTAATGGGTCATACAAGTGCAATCAAATATTTTCTTAGTACAGTATCTAAAAAGCCTCCTCTTCATTTGTTTTTCCTTTGCGGACAAAGTCTACAAACATTAAGGCATCGCTTCAAAGGAGGAGATTCTTTTTTTTTTTTTTTTGCGAGAGGAACAGAAGTCCTTGATACCATATTGGACTAAAGAGCAAGCACAATGGAGTTGGAAATGTATAACAGGGCGACAAAAATTGATGCAAAGAAAAAATTCATTCTTTAATGCTTGCTATTTCCTAATTGAAACACAGTTTGATTAACTTCACTAACATCCAGTTTCCAATACTGTGAAACATGTTCATCTCCCCGAGGAAGCAAAAAAAGGATTAGCAGAAGTCTGTACAAGTGCTACTTTACAGAACTGTGTTGTTAGCCCCTGAAAAAAGGAGAGAGAGAAAAAAAGAACTCTTTTAGCTTGATCTATGCTATTGTATGCTTTCAGGACTGATTTAAACAAGAAATGGCATCAGTGAAAATGTCTTCTCTACAAGGAATAGTGAGACCGCCCATCGGATGATCATATCCAAATTCTTCTTCAGCTAGATTCAATTCTTCTTGAAATATAGGCTGGTTCAAGTATGATATGGGAATTACAAATCGCTTCTTTTGGATTTCTCCAACATAAACTGCAAGGCGGCCCTTTGGGACATTTGAAGCTGCTTGACTTGCTGCAGATGGAGAACGCTGAAGAATTTGCTTAGCACGTACAAAAGCAGACGAACGGAAACCCATTATTTCAAATGAATGAGCAAGGAAAAGAAATCTAGGACGACTTCTTGAGAAAAAAGAACTTTTGATTCTAGATGATGTGAAGGCTTGAGTTGCTCGTCAACCTAAATAAGTGTGCATTTATAGATGTAGGTGTTTACATGATTCAAATCGCCTGATGCAAGAAGCTGGTTGCCAAGAGGCCCTTGGATGCGGTGTAGTCAAGAGGTTAGGTCATGAGCCATCACATGGTTTTGTCTTCAACCTAATTCTCAAGATACAGATCTGACTGGCCGCCATTCATTTCTGTGAAACATTATGACCCCGCTGCTTCTATGAACTATATAGGTCTACTTCAATTTGAAAATATTTAAAGAGGATAATACTGATTATCCAACTCACGATATTAGCTGATATTTTCTAATTTTTTCAGCATTTCAGAGACCTGCTTCAGTCAGCTGTCATTTCTTTGACAATGTTCAGACAATATGTCCATTGAAATTCTTCAATTCAGATTAGCATAAGCTTGTCAAATTCAAAGAATTGAAGCTAAGCCCTTAAGATATGTTCTTTAGGAACAAAAAAGAAAAGAAAAAAACAACAATAGAGTCTATTTGGAAGGAACTTAGCTGACATCCTGCAATAAGTAGTATAGAACCAGAAAGTGGTAGCTAAGGACCTTTATCTTTAGGCAAGCGAAAAACATCAATAGCATAACTTGTGTACCAACTGGAAGCACTGAGAGTTACTCATATCATATCTAACACACTAATTTTCATATCAATAAATAAACTTGCTGGACAGGACACCATGAAGTTCACAAGGCCTTGTCTGCTGCCAGTACTGATGATTTGCCACCTCAATATAGCATCGTACAAAGAAGCATTTACATTTGAGGAGGGATCACCAACAATATCTATCATGATAGATGAGTGATCATTTTCAAGGAGACCCAACAATATCTATTATGATAGATGAGTGATCAATTTCAAGGAGACCCAACAGTATCTGTTATGATAGATGAGTGATCATTTTTCAAGAGGTCTCCTTTTCTCGTTGTGCCAAACGTGGCCTTACAAGTTTTCGTAGGAGGATTGCCTAGAATTACATTCAGCCAAGACCAGCCTCGTGGTTATATGGTTAATGGTATGAGTGTGCATTGTGATCATCGAATGATTTGAAATTAAAGTTCTGCGGCATTTCTCTTTTCATGAACAAACAAGCTGAAACCCTTAACAGAACATAAGCATGTCAGATTGTTTTGTAATGGAGTTGAACAAGTGGACGAAGATAAAGGAAATATGAAGTTTAATACTCCATCCATTATACGTGACACGTCAATTCTGCAAAAAGAAAAGACTAATTTCATTTCATTTTCTCCCTTTTGCTAATTGAATGCATCAACTTTCTGGACTAGATTTGTCCTAACTCCTAGTTAAGTCTCCATCGCCACTTGCCCTGTAGGACTAATGTACAAGTCACTCTCATAGTAATGAAATTAAAGAAAATCATCAGTAATGAAAACAAATTTGAGTGGCAAGCAATAATTTTAGGGGACCATTGTCGAACTGTTGCTGTAGATGCTCTACTTGCTAAAAGGCCCGTATTTATCAGATGTTACCAAACTGGACCGACTCTGGCCTAGTGGTCTGACACCTACCATGTGCCAAGTAATCAGATTAGGAAACGATCAAGGCTTCTTACTAATCTATGCTACTGCACATTAAAAATTCATAGTATGGCTGAGACTACTAGAAAAGTCTACAGCTGATTCTGTGCCTTTTGGCTGAAGTAATTGTCCCAGTCTAAGTGGATGCTTTCAATAATAGATGGCTCACCATTTTCCAAAAGAAATTGCTTGTTTTTCTCTGGAATGAAAACTGAAAAGTACCAGAAAATTGAAAATCTATGAGAAAGGTAAACTGTAACAGACACTAGAACCTGTTGTCTAGAAAAAAATATGGTTAGAGTTGGCACCAGGAGGCTCCAGCCTTCCGGCATTTAAGTCTATCATCTTACAAGACAAGCCTCTGAAGGTCCAATGAAGCTGTGCTTCCTTCTTCAAAGAGCATTTATTACCATTCACATGCAATCTGCAGTGTGAAATGAGGATAGACAACTCTCAATACAAAGTAGTTTTAATTAGCAGGTGATGACTGTTCTTTGGGATCAGAATTTTGTGATCAAACGTAAATTGGCTAATTTAGGCTTTTATCTGTAGTGAACTGGTTGTAAAATCAGAATGACGTTTGCTTAGTTCAGTCAACTTACAAGACAACCTCTAGAACAGCCAGCACATAGGACAGGAAAGGAGTACTGCCACAAAATAAAACCGTGCTTCTGAAGAGAATTTTTTTTTTTTTTTTTTGGAGGAATATAATTCAAACAAAATGGAGTAACACATGCAAACGAAATTAACAAGAGAAGAATAGAATATTAGAAAAAATTCATTGATTAGTGCTTGCACTTTCCAAATTGAAATACAATTTGACAGAATGGCAATAACATCAAGTTTTGTTATACCATGAAACAAGTTCATTTCCCTAAGGAAGAAAAAATATAAAGGAAAAAAGATCTTTACATGTAACTCATTAATGTCTTCTTTGCAAAACTGTGTTAAGAGTTTTTCTATGCCATTCAGCTTTCATGACTTTATATTCAAGGAAGAAATGGCATCTTGGAAAATGTCTTCTTTGCAAGGAATTGTGAGACCTCCCATGGGATGATGGTATCCGAATTCTTCTTCAGCTTGACTTAGCAAGTCTTGAAATATAGGTTGGCTCAAGTATGATATTGGAATCACATATCGCTTCTTTTGGATTTCTCCTACATAGACTGCAAGGCAACCCTTTGGCACATTTGAAGCTACCTGACTTGCTGCTGATGGAGCCAACTGAAGAATTTGCTTAGCACGGAGAATAGCAGATGAACGGAAACCCATTATTTGGAATGATGAGAAGGAAAAGATATAGAAAGAGATGCTGAACCAGGGAATTTTTTATTCTCAAGAATGTGTGAAGGCATGTGTTGCTTGTAAACCTAAATGTGTGTGTATTTATAGATGTAAGGGTATGATGCTAGAGATCCCCTAATGCAAGTAGCCAGTGGTGCAGGGCCCTTGCATGAGATCTGGTCAAGAAATGAGCTCATGAGCCCTCACATGGTTTTGTCTTCAACCTAATTATCAAGAATACAAGTCTGGCTGACCACTGTCCATTTCTGGGTAACATTAGGACCCCACTCCAATGCTTCTTTGAACTACTTAGGTCTACTTCAATTTGAAGTTATTCAAAGAGGATAAATTAATAGGTTTTATGCAAATCATAAAATAAACAGATATATAGATTCTATTTTTCGGTGCATCAGGACAAGCTTAATCATGCATTTCTCTTATGATGTTAAGCCAACATGTCCTGTTTATGAATTTCTTGATTCTGATATGGATATGTTTCATCAAATTCAAACCAATATAAGGCCTTGGAAAAAATGAACTATCAGAGTAAAAATTAATAGAACTGAGCTGACATACTCAGTTTAAAGTCCATACCAGGCTACCAGCATGCCATATCTCTCTGCAATAAGTAGTATAGAACCTGAGAGTGGTGGCACAGAACCTTAATCTACAGGTAACGAGAAAAACTATCAGTATCATAGCTTGTGTGGGAATTGGAAAATTTCACTCACAACATATAGGAAATACTGATTTTCACAACTTCAATAGTTGAACTTTCTGGACAGGCCACCATGAAGTTCACATGATCATGCCCTACTGCTAGTTCCCACCACTAGCAACATCACTATATCATCCTACGGAGATGCTTTTTCTTCAAGAAGGGATCAGGAACAGCATCTTGTCTGATAGATGAGAAATCATTTTCGAGAAGTACTTTTTACCAGTGTATTAATATAGCCTTATACGGAGCTAAAGATATTAAGAGTTACCAATACAGACCTGCAAGTACATATAAATACGTAAAAGCAGCCAAGAAAGACATCATTGTTGTGATGACACGAGTGTCTATTGGTTGTCACTGATAGATTTGAAAATACAGTTCAGCAGCATTTCCCTTTTCACGAAGAAACGATGGTAAGTGAAGCTAAAATGAATCTGAACTAAAATGCTTAGCAAAACATCAGGATCTCAGATTTATTAATTTTCAACTGATAACTGCGAAGTAGATAAAGAAAAATCAAAGTTAGTACTTCGAACAATAGATGTGACTTGTCAATTCTGAAATAAGAAAATATCCATTCAATTGACATATCAGCAGAAGCACTGTCTCCCTCTTTCTTATCCAATGCAACAACTTTCCAGGCTAGATTTGTCTCGTCCTGCCTTTAGTGTCCAACACTACTAGGACTATCGTACAACTGTACAAGGGACTCTGATGGAAATGAAATTATAGCAAATTATCAGTTGTGACAACAAATTTGAGTGGCTAGTAATAGTTTTCAGGGGAACATTGTTGCAAAAGTGGCTGTAGATTCTCTACTTCATGATAATGACCCACATATATCAGAATTCAGATGTTACTAAGCCTGCTTTTGCTGAAGTATTGGGTCCAGTCTAAGTTGATGCTTTCAATAATAGCAGTCTTACTATTTTTCCGAAACAATTTGTATATTTTGATCAGGAATGATAACTGTCATGAGACGAAACTCTACAAGAACCAGAAAAGTAAACTGTAAAAACGTTACAACCTGTTGTCTAGAAAAGATATGGTTGAAGGTGGAAAGAGAGAGATTCCAGCCCTCATCACTCAAGTCTACCAGTATACAAGACAACTGTCATGAGTTCATATGAAGCTGTATTCACAACTTAAAAGAACATTTATCACCATTCACCTGCAATGTGTAAGGTGGATAATGCTTAATCAGTTTTCAAGGCCCCATGACTTGAAAACTTTGGACAACGGATACTGCAAAAGTAAATTTGGCAAAATTTAGGCTTTTTCCTGCGATTAAGATGCTGATATTATAACTGATTTTTTTGCTTAGTTAGCCATCAAGTGCTATCAAATGTCTTCTTAATTTGTTTTTCTTTCGAAGGAAATATGTATGACAGCATAAAGGACAGGAAAGGATTCCCACTAAATAAGGATCCTGTTTCTGAAAAGATTTTTTCCTTGTAGGAACACAATTCAAACCAAAATGGATAACACATTTAAAAAAAGTAAGGTCAGGCAATGGAAATTTGTAAGAGAACAACATAATATTCTGAGATAAAAATTTCATTGATTAATGCTTACAGTTTCCAAATTGAATTACATTTTGGCAAAGCTTCAATGACATCCAGTTTTTTGATACTCTGAAAAATGTTCATTTTCCTAAAGGAGGAAAAAATGTATTGAAAGAAATCTTTACATGGTACTAATAATTGTCTGCATAAACTCTGTTAAATTGCTTACGACATTGCCTGCTTTCACTACTCACTTGAGCAAGAAATGACATCATGGAAGATGTCTTCTCTGCAAAGAATTGTGAGACCACCCATTGGATTATCATATCCGAATTCTTCTTCAGCTTGACTTAGCAAGTCTTGAAATATAGGTTGGTTCAATTATGATATTGGAATTACAAATCTCTTCTTTTGGATTTCCCCAACAAGCACTGCAACGCAGCCCTTTGGCACATTTGAAGCTGCTTGCCTTGCTGCAGATGTAGAAAGCTGAAGGATTTGCTTAGCTCGTATAACAGCAGACAATCGAAAACCCATTGTTCAGTAAGAATGAGAAGGAAAAGATCTTCACAGACTTGTTGAACAAGGGAATTTCTGATTCTAAAGAATGTGAAGACTTGTGTTGCTGGTGAAACTAAATGTTGGTGTATTTATAGATGTAAGGGCATAATGCTAGAGGTCCCCCAACGCAATTAGCCAGTAGTGAAGAGGCCCTTGGATGAGGTCTAGTTGAGAATTAGACCATGAGCCTTCACAATCCACATGGTTTGGTTTTCAACCTAATTATCAAGAATACAGGTCTGACAGACCACTATTTATTTCTCAGAAACATTACGACCCACCCCACTGCTTCTCTGAACTACTTAGGTCTACTTCAATTAGAAGTTATTTAAAGAGGATAACACTACTAATCCAAATGACATAATAATCAGATTTTTTTCTATCTTATATGTGCATCAGGACAAGTTTTAATCATATAGAGTTTCTCTTATGATGTTAATAAGACAGCTTGTCTTATGAATTTCTTGATTCAGATAAGCATAGGTTTCATCAAATTCGAAGTCCAAAGCTGCACGCCAGAGATGACTCTGCGATGGGTAGCATAGAACCTGAGTAGTAACTAAGATTAAGAACCTGAAGCAATTGGTAATGATAAAAAGTGTTGGTATCATAATTTTTGTTGGAATTGGAAACAGAGAGTTTCACTCACAGTATATCACACACATACAGATTTTCACAACTTCAAGGTTTGAACTTTCTGGACGGGCCACCTTGAAGTTCACATGGTCATGCCCTACCGCAGCATTAATAAATCATCATACAGAGATGCTTTTTCTTTCGGAAGAGATCACTATCTATTTACTAGTATCACTGATGAGAAACCATTGTTAGGCGTTTTTTAGCTCCATATTAAGTATTAACATAGCATTATACCTATTGATATTGAGGTGATACCATTACAGACCTGCAGGTACATAACTAGTCAGCCAAGATAGGCATCATAATTGTGATGGTATGAGGGTCTATTTAATAAGTTATCGTTGGCAGAATTGAAGATAAAGTTCATGTTGAATAGAGAGAATTTGGGTGAAAATCTTCTTCTCTATGATAATGCATTCTCACATATGGCTTTGTTACAGAGCATCATGTCTGTTATAACAAACTCTACAGAGTACTTCCTCTGGCTATATCCCTCTCTCTTTATATATATACCGTATGTTATATCTATACATGTACAGCTATGGAAATTATAAATATATCCTTCTTAATAGTTTAGCAGCATTTCTCTTTTCATGTAGAAACAATTGGTAATTAAGTGAAGCTCAAATGAATCTGAACTAAAATGCTTAGCAAAACATAAGAATTCAAACTGAGTACTACTGCAAAATGAAGTAGATAAAAAAGAAAATGAAATTTAGCACTCCATCCAATACATATGCGACATGTCAACTCTGAACTTAGAAAATATCTATTTCAATTGACATATCAGTAGAAGCATTTTCTCCCTATTTCTTATCCAATGCATCAACTTTCCAGGCTAGATTTCTTGTCCGGCCTTTAGTCTCCATCACTAATAGGACTATTGTACACTCCTTTAGTCTCCATCAACAATAGGACTATCGTACACGGGACTCTCAAGGTAATGAAATTATTGCAAATTATCAGTTATGACAACAAATTTGAGTGGCCAGTAATAGTTTCAGAGCAACATTGTTGTAAGAGTGGCAGTAGATGCTCTACTTAATGATGTTGACCCACGTACATCAGGTGTTGCAAAACCTGCTTTGGCTGAAGTAATGGGTCCAGTCTAAGTGTTGCTTTCAATTTGAATCATCAAACGAAACTCTATGGGAATTAAAAAGTAAACTATAACAAACACTACAACCTGTTATCTAGAAAAATAAGGTTGAAGGTGGCACTAAAGCGATCCCAGCTCTCATCATACAAGTCTACCAGTTGACAAGACAAGCGTCATGAGTTCACATGAAGCTGTATTCACAACACTTAAAAAGCATTTATCACCATTCACCTGCATTGTGTAATCTGGATAATGCTTAATCAGTTTGGGGGTGCCATGACTAGAAAATTTTGGTCAGTGGAGGTGATGAGATAACATTATAGAATCATTACAGAAAGTAGTACATCACTAATTAGCATCACGTCGGTTCTATAACAGTGAGATGTACAGTTATTATATACCTGACAGTCAAATTCTCCTATAATGATGTTTTAACTAGACAGGAACAGCAGTTAGCTTTCTGTGATCAAAAGAAGAATTGGCGAAATTTAAGCTTTTGCCAGCGATGAACTGATGCTGATACTATAACCGATTTTTCTTAGTCACTTAAGAAGTGCTATCAAATGTTTTCTTAATTTGTTTTTTGCGTTGAGGAAAATGTCTACAGCATCATGAAGTACAGGACTGTATTGCCATAAAGTAAACTCCTGTTTCTGAAGAGATCATTAATTCCCTTTGTAGGAACACAATTCAAACAAAAATGGAATAACACATTTGAAAAAAGTAAAATCACGCAATGGAAATTTGTAAGAGGACAACAAAATCTGAGAAAGAAAATTTCATTGAATAATGCTTGCAGTTTCCAAATTAAAACACAATTTGGAAAAAACTTCAAGAACACAGTTCCTGATTCTGTGAAAAAGTTTCATTTCCCTGAGGAAGAAAAAAATTATCCAAAGAAACATAAATTCTCTACTTTGACTGTATTAGTTTGCTCTATGCCATTGCCGGCTTTCACTACTAATTTAAGCAAGAAATGACAAAGTGAAAAATGTCTTCTCTGCAAGGAATTGTGAGACCACCCATTGGGTGATCATATCCGAATTCTTCTTCAGCTTGACTTAGCAAGTCTTGAAATATTGGTTGGTTCAAGTATGATATTGGAATTACAAATCGCTTCTTTTGGATTTCTCCAACATAGACTGCAAGGCAACCTTTTGGCACATTTGAAGATGCTTTTCTTGCTGCAGATTGAGAAAGCTGAAGAATTTGCTTGGCACGTACAATAGCAGACAAACGGAAGCCCATTATTCAGAACGAACGAGAAAGAAAAGATCTTGTAGAACTTGTTGAAAACGGAAATTTTTTATTTTCAAGAATGCGAAGGCTTGTGTTGCTTTTAAGTTAAATGTATGTGTATTTATAGATACAAGACTATATTGCTGGAGATCATCAGATGCAAGTAGTCAGTGGAGAAGAGAATAATGAATGAGCTATGAGGTGTAGTCAAGAAATTAGCTCATGAACAATCACATGGTTTTGTCTTCAACCTAATAATCAAGAGTACAGGTCTGACTAATCAATAGCCCATGCTGTGAAACATTATGTCCCCACTGCTTGTAGGAACCCTTAAAGGTCCACTTGAATTTAAAGTGATTTAGATAGGATCAAGCAATTTTTCAATGCAAACTATTAGCTGACTTACCTACTTTTCTGTACATCAGAGACATGGTTTACTCACATGGCATTTCATTTCTGTTGTTGAGGCTTCCTATTATATATTTCATCAAATTCAAAGTTTGAAGATAAGTACTTGAAATATTTTCTAGGTAATTAGTTAGCTATGGAATCAAATTGAATGGAATTGACCTGATACCCTCAGTTTGAAGTACACCCTAGCATGCTACGTCTCTCTGCAATAATTAGTAGGACCAGAAAGTAGAAGCTCAGAGATTTGCACAGCAGTAATTGAAAAAGAAACCATGATTATCCGGACTTGTTTTAGAACTGCAAAAGCAGATATTTACAGTCTTATCTTATCGAAGACTAACTTTCGCAACATGAATAAATCAAACTTTCTGTACTGACACCATGTTCACATGGTCATGCCCTACTGCGAGTCCCCATCACCAAACAACTTAATGCATCATTGTACGGAGATGCTTTCACTTTAAAGAGTGATCACAAGCACATCTAGTACGATGTATGAGTAGTAATTTTCAGGCCCTTTTTCGCTTTGTACAAAATATAGTCTTATAGTCTCTGCAGAATATTAAGTTGTTATCGACACAGACCTGTTGGTACATTCCTAGTAGTACTTACTGTCCACTTGCAATGGTACGAAGGTAAATCTGTGATCTCTGAAATATTTGAAGATAGAGTTCTGAAGAATCTCTTTTCATGAACAAAAAACTGGTGAGTGAAACTGACATGAATAAGAGCTAAAATGCTTAGCATGGTTAAGCATATTAATTAGTTTTATTTGTAATGAGTACCATAAAGTACACGAAGCCGAAACAAATACGAAAAACTTGTAAAAAATATGTAGCATGTCAATTCTGCAACGAAAAAGATCTATTTCTAATGACATATCTGTAGAAAAACCCTCCGCCTTCTGCTAATTCAGTGCACCAACTTTCATGACTATGCTTGCACTACTTTCGGTCTCCATTACCACTTGCCATAAAGGAGTAAAGGACTATCGTACAAGGGGTGCTTACGGTAATGACATTAGTTAAAATCATCGTTTATGACAGCGAATGTTACTCGCAATTGATAAATTTCAGGGACCATTGTTGAAGAGAGTAGCTTTCAATGCTCGACCAACCCTAATGACCCACAAATATCAGATGTTACCGGACCTGCTTGAGCCTAGAGGTCACTCTTACATCTAGCATGCGCCAAAATTGACAAAAGATAGTCCAATTAAGTGAAGCTGAAGGCTTTTATGCTTCTGCTTATTAATTTAACTCATAGTTTGGTCAGCAATTAACCACAGCAATCTAAAGTTGAATTTGTGCCTTTTTTCTTAGGTAATGGGTCCAGACTAGCTGTCATAGTTAATGCTTTCAATGATAAAGGATGTACTATTTTCCAGCATAATCTGGATGTTTTGATCAGAAATCACAAGTAACACCATCAAAGAATTAACGAGATTAGTAAGCTCTAGCAAACATTACAACCTGTCATGCAACAAAAATAAGGTTGAAGTAACACCAGAGAGATTCCAGCCTTTCATGCTCAGTCCAACTTACAAGACAAGCACCTTGAAGTACACATGAACCTCACAAGAACGAACCTATTCGAGCCACTGGAGAGCGGTGTCGAAGAAGATTCTATGACTTAATAACCTGCAATGTCTACTGTATAATTCTTAAATCATTTTGTGGAGGACTTATGACTTGTATGGTGCAAATTTTAGCTGCTGAAACGTCCCTCATACGAGAACTCTTACCCAAATATAATTTTGAAATAGAACGTAAGCATAGGTGAAAACTAATCGAAAAAGAAAGAAAGGTCAATTATTTTTGAGAAAATAATCTAGATAAATATTCTTGATCATCTCCTAATTAATGAAAAGAAGAAAATCAAGGGAGAAGATCAAGAATTTTTTATTATTTGTTTTTTTTCTTTAATTGTCTCATTTGTATGGTTTTAATAATCCTGTTGTCAATAATATTCTTCACTTATTTTAAATTTCTTCAATTATCTTATGAATGCATGTATTTCTGAATGCGCATTGTGACAACAGGCTGATCGTGTAATGGAAGATATACTAGGACATGGTGAATGGAATTGTTCTGAAAAAACGATATCTTGATTATTTTTTGGTGGAGAATGACGATTCAAGTAAAGATAAATTATACTACCGCAGCTTCTGCTATAACTCATCAAGTCCACTGGTTTATAAAGTTAGATTTGGCCGACCATATTGCTTGGATACACAAAATTTGCTATACCTTAAAAACTTGAGAGTATTTTTAATAATATTTTTAATTTAATATTTTGTTTAAAATTTGTTTTTTTTCTCTCATATTCAAAGAAAAAGAAAAATTATATATGTAGCTGATTCTTTAACAACTTTTTAACTTGGTTATAACTTTTTTCTCACCAGTACCTTTCTGGTTTATGCCATAATATTCGAATTCATCAAAAATATATATATATCATAAATTACAGAATATGAATTAAAAAATAAAAATTAAAAATCATTGGCTCATTCTTGTCATTTCCACATTAGAACACAGTTTTCAAAAACCGAGAAACATTAGTCTTCTCTGAGGAAGGAAAAAAAAAAAGTATCAACATTAGTCTGTACATGGTACTGATAATTGTCTACTTCAATATGTCCTCACAGAAATATTAAAAAAAGGAACTGTGTTAAAATTGATCTTTGCCATTGTCTGCTTAATTTTACAACCGATTCAAGCAAGAAATGACATAGAGGAAAATGTCTTCTCTGCAAGGAATTGTGAGACCACCCATTGGATGAACATATCCGAATTCTTCTTCAGCTTGACTAAGCAAGTCTCGAAATATAGGCTGGTTCAAGTATGATATCGGAATTACAAATCGCTTCTTTTGGATTTCTCCAACATAAACTGCAAGGCAGCCCTTTGGAACATTAGAAGCAGCTTGGCTTGCTGCTGATGCAGAAAGCTGAAGAACTTGCTTAGCACGCACAATTGCAGACAAACGGAAACCCATTATTTGGTATGAATGAACAAGAAAAAAAAAAACCCAAAAGATTTGTTGAGCAAGAGAGTTATCAAGAACGTGAAGACTTGCGCTGCTTGTCAACCTATATATACTTGTATTTATAGATGGGAGGGTATTGCATGCTACAGATCCCCAATGCAAGAGCCAGCTGTGATTAGGCCCTTCAGTGAGGTCTAGTCAAGAGATTAGCTCATGAGCCAGCACATGGTTTTGTCTTCAATCTAATATATAATCAAGATAGCAGGTCTGACTGATCACAAATATGTGAAACATTATGCATGCCCCACCGCCTCTAGGTACTGCAGAGGTTCATTTAAATTTGAAGTTATTTGGATATGATAACACTAATTGTATAATACACAGATTTAAGGATACCATTTACGCTAATTTAGTCTTCTAGCATTTCTTCTATAATGTTAATACAACCTGTCCTATGAATTCTTCTTTTCACATCGGCTTATGTTTCGTTAAATTCAAAGGTTCCGAGGCCTTAAGAATTTCTTAATGGAATCATCTGGTATATTTCTTCAATTAAAAAAGCCAACACAAGCATGCCAGATCTTGCTGCATTTAGTAGTATAGGACCAGAAAGCAGTAGCTAAGAACCTTACGCTACATGAAATGGAAAAAAAAATGCTGGTATTATGACTGGAATCGCAACTCTAGAAACACAGGGTTACACTCTTGTCATATCTGACACTAGTTTTTCTAACATTAAGAAATCAACTTGCTGGACCAGCCACCATGAATGTCACATGGCCATGCCCTGCCACCAGTCGGTCCAGTTCCCATCATCAGCAGCCTTTATATATTATTGTACGGAATGCCTTTTCCTTTTACGGACGGATCACGAGCTGCATCTACTCTAGTATGATACAAGCATGATACCCGCCCATTGCTGCGGAAAAATTTATATAATATGTGCTATTATTTTAAATAATTAAAACATTTAGGTGTAAAATAAAACTTAATTAACACTAATATATATATATATATATATATATATATATATATATATATATATATATATATATATATATATATATCATAATTGAGTTCAAATACATTTTAGGAATATTTTTTATTTTGATCAATAAAAAATAAAACATGTAATTAATTATTAAAAAAAAAATCAAATTAGCTAAGTCCATTTATATGAGAAGAGTGTTTAATTTTAGTTAATGGGTCTATAAAAAATATAAAATTAACATTTAATTATATATATATATATATATATATATATATATATATATATTATTTTGAGTAAATAATAAATAATAATAAAATAAAAGAATAAAAAAGGGGGAAAAGATTGGGTTAGTCTTACACTAGGCCCTTTCATATGGACCTAGAGACAAACAAGCCCATGTGACTGGGCTGGAAGCACAAGCCAGCCTAAAAATAAAAGGATATTTTTGTAAAAATAATTAAATTCAGCAACCGTTATTATAAAATAAGGACTCAAGGGATTAAAGTGTAAAAAAGCGGATAAATTGACAAAAAAAATCTTCTTCTTTTTTTCAGAAAATGGCGAGGTTCAAAATGATACTGTTTTGCTTTACTGTATCAGGGCTTAACTGCAGTAAAACTCCATGTTTTTTCTTTAGATTATTTATAATATGAAAATCAATTTCAGAAGATCCTAGCTCCTTGACCAATAGAACTGCTAGGAACTGGTGCATGCCTAGCTATTACTTGCAGTCAGCCAAGAGACGGGCCTGTATCAGGAATTATTTGAAGATGAAGATCTGCAGAATTTCTATTTTTAATGAAGAAACAATTTGAGAGTCACTAGGGCAACCAAAATGAAATACATGAGCTAAACTATCTTCCACATTTTTCTAATTCAATGCGTCAATTTTCTGGGCCAGCCATGTCTGACTCTTTAGTCTCGATCACCATTCACCACTTTCCCTGTAGGGATATCGTTCGAAGGGGTTTTACGGTAATGAAATGATAGGGAATTATCAGTTGTGACTACAAATTGAGTGGCTGACACAAGGAGCCATCCACAGACGATGAATTATCAGTTCATGTGAACGACGGATCATTCATCTTCTTTTTTTTCACTATTGGGCTGCATTCCTTCCTAGGCTTCCGGGATTGGTTCCAACATCCAAGCCCAGGTCGTTTTTCTTACTTCATTTCAAATTTGTTATGTCAATTTTAATTTTTTTTTTTCATGTGTCATTGTATAAAGAACCATATTTTCCATCCCGTCAAATTAATAATGGAAAATTTAATTACTCAAAATGCAGAGACAAATACTATGTTTTGTATATTATTATCAAACATAAGCTATCTTCATCTCTTGTTTCCTCTATATTGTTCAATCTCGTCGCTTTTATATTGAGACAAAATTCAAATGTTAATTTATTATATATGTATTTATTAATTAAGATAATTTGTTCTGTTTATTTGGTACTTTTAATAATTAATGAAAAGTTCACTACTTCGCAATATAATTTATATGTTTAATTATCAGGAATTACAATAATCCTCAAACAAAAATTTATGAGAAAACTGAACTGAAACAAAAATAAAAACCGATTTGCCTACAACAATTTAGTTGAAGTTATCATCACCAGAGGGATTCCAGCCTTTCACCACAAAAGTGTGCAAACATAATAATTACAAGACAAGACCCCCTGAGGTTCACATGAAGCTGATCACTGCTTGTGTCCCCATTACAACCAAACCTCATCAAGCTTACTAGTAAGCATCGTTGAATAAAAAGCCATGACTTAAGAACAAAATAACGAACATCACCTGCAATGTCTATTGTGGATAGTTCTTAAATTATTTTTTGGAGGACTCATGACTTGAAAACTTAATTGATTGCTGTAAAATTTAGCTGCTAAATGTCCACATTAGACAACTCTTGCGGAAATGTAGTTTTGAAATGTTCGTGCTTTGTAAGGATAGAGAAATTGATATGGAAAGACTGACATCATTTAAATACTTCTGTTGTATGTTGCCAACATAATCACAGAATCATGACAAAGAACAAGAGAGAAACAGCATCGAGATGGAGAGATCAATTGGCTTCAAATTACATAAATCTGAAGACTACATGATGTCTAAGTGTTCACAACAAAATTGGTACTTAGGTTAGCTCAGTTACAGAGGAGTGATCAGCTATGCTACATTAGGTAATAGGTATCCCTTATAATTAATTAGGACTACCTGCTGAAAATGAGACCCCTGAAGATTTCTTCACTGCATGGAATTGTAAGGCCGCCCATAGGATGATCAAATCCAAACTCTTCTTCCGCTTGACTTAACAAATTCTGGAATGAAGGATGCTTCAAATATGAAATTGGAACGGTAAATCTCTTTTTTGAGTTTCTCCAACATAAACAGCAAAGTGGCCTTTAGGCACATTTGAAGTATCCTGTGACAAGATAATTCGCCCCAGAATTTGTTTAGCATTAGAAAATCCATGCAAGCAGATATCCATGTTGAAATTCTTTTGAAGGTATTGGATTAAGCTGAAATGGTAAGACTTAGAGAAAGTAGAGAAGAAGTTGCACTGGATTGCAATCTTTGGTAAAAGGTATATATAGGGCCAAAATTCTGTTGCCAACACTTTCAGGTGGATTGAGTGACCATTGCAGCAGAGCCCCTTATGACCATATGCCCTAAGGAATCACATGGTTCTGCCACCCATTAACTAATAATAAAATTTTGATAGATTTCATACTTTGTTTTTCTTGCCTATCATCTTGGCCTATCACTCAAAAACTTTGAAAGCATTATATCATGCCCTGCTTGCTAAGGTGTATACCAAGCAGGCCATTTAAATGAAAGATTAACTCCTAAAGAACTAATACAACGCATCAAATTTGGAATATTCTTTTGGCAAACAATACATCACAATGCATGCAAAATGTTAGTGGAAACTTGTTCTTGATCAAATTAACAGAATGGCCATCATCACCTTATCGATCTGTAATGGCACTAACAAACACAAGCAATATACAAACCTTTCTTTTAATATGATAATGTTTTCAGCATTATAAGAGAGGCATATTTGGTGATCATATGCATATAGGGCCTGAACTTGAAGAAATGATAGGTTGAATGGAAACACCATACAAGCCAAGCAAATGAGCTAAACTATTTAGACCATGATTGAATTACAAATGTTTGAATAATTGAAAATTATCTTTCTGGATAAAACATAGCACTAGTTGACTAAATAGATTCAAACATTATTCTTGGACATCAAATACTTTGCCAAATATTGTCAATGTCACTAGAACTATATCTTATTTAATGGGCTCTCTGAAAAAAAAAATATACAAAAATAACACTTGAAAATATGATAAAGCTAGGCAAAAAGAGCAATCTACAGCTATGATATATCCATGGGATAAAGTTGCCTGGTTTATGCCCCTGAAATTTATCAACTTGCAAGACAAGAACAGTGAAATCCACATGAAGCAAGCTGTACTACTTGTCTGCATCACTTTTAACTATCAAAATGCTACCACAGGATATGCTGTACAGTTGCGAGAGTTGCTTCACTTGCAGTGTCAGTAGTGAGAGTTGTTTGACTAAATTCAGGGAACCTATGTTTCGTTAAAATCATCAGCTTATGCTAACCGAATCATCCACATATATTTCTGAAGGGTATTCAAATAAACCCCATCTTTGATTTTTTTTTTTCCCCCTCTTTTTTCAAACGGGATTGAAAACTTGGTAAGCATGTAAAAAGAAAAGAAAAAAGATCGATATAGGACCCGAGAATTAACTTTCTCTGCTTTTCTCTAATTGATCATAAGAGATTGGTTTATTATAGGGGTCAGAAAGAGAAAGACTGAGAACAAAGGTCAATAAATTGGTAAAAGAATGTTTTCAATTGCAGCAGAAGGATGAAAAATCTTGCTTCTGGTAGAGTGCAATGATTGCTTATATTCCCATTTTCCATTGTATCGTTCTGCTATTTGCACATCTATTAAGGATACTAATACATCAACGATCAACTACCGAGATTTTTATAAAATCTCTCAGCTGTAAACAATGATTTTTTTCATAGTATAATAACAAAGGAGGAAAAAAATGTTACTGTGAAAATTCTCTTCAATATCCAAGCAATGTTTATCGTTTAAATCTTCGTATATTACAACATACATATATAATATCATTTCCCCTATGGCCTATACAAAATTGGTTTCCGGATTAATGGGGTTAGAAACTCAATAGCCTTTAACTATCCAAACCAGTTCTTATGTCAATTCTCATGAGGACCACAAGCTGCAGGTGAGACCAATGAAGGTTTCTTCACTGCAAGGGATAGAGAGGCCACCCGTAGGATAGCTGAAGGCAAATTCTTCTTCAGCCTGATTTAGCAAATTCTGAAATGAAGGATGCTTCAAGTATGAGGTTGGAACGACAAATTTTTTCTTTTGACTTTCTCCAACATAAACAGCAAAATGGCCTTTAGCTAGGCACAATGGCATTCTGAGGAGAAAAAGGAATCCGTCGGACAATCTGCTTAGCGTTAACAATCCTAGGCAAAGGAATACCCATGATTTTCATAAGGTAGTAGTTCTTTAAAAATATTGAATAGCAAGAGCTGAATATTTAAGACTTAATGTTTCCAGTGAAGACTATCCTTGGAATACGGGTATATATATATATATATATATATATGAGCAAAATCTCTTGAAGCTAGTTCTCTTTGATGGGTCAAATGATAAAATTACAATTAGTATGGGATCTGCTAAAGTCTAAAGACATACTTCCTGAGCAATCACATGTTTTTGTTTCCCTCTATGGATAAGGTTTCGATAAATTTTGTACCAATGTTTCTGTTAAAAATCATCATGGCCTACTTGCAAACTCAACAAACAAAAGTGGTCAAGCTGAATTATTGAATAAGATTGGCCATCCGATTCAAAGACTAGTTACATAGGAGAATATAGGTGCTAAAGACTAGTATATATGACTAGCAAATTGCTTTTATCTATTCTACAGGAAACCTTATGTTTTAACACTGCCTGTTTGTTGAATGAACTCTATGATCAAGCAAACAGAACACCAGCGGTAATGTGTGTTAAGAGAATCAAAAATTCAAACTAACAGGCCCATCGTTTTTTTTTTTTTTTAAATTCCCTTAGTCCGAATTATAGCCCAGACTCACTTGTCCCCTTTCCCCTTTACATGATACTACAAATTAAAACCTTCATTCATTTATTTCTCTTAGGCAGGAAACCATGAACGGGAAACAAAAACAAATGACAGTCTAATTTAAAGAACAAGTAAAACAAATGAGGGTGAAAGAAAAAAAAATTACCTGGTGAATTCGGATCAGTAAGGACAGTATGAAACTGGATTTGGAACTAGAAATGAAACAAGAGTGTTGTGATGGAAGACTAGAACTTAGCTTGAATCAGGAGAGAATGTCGTCCCTTTCCTTTTAGATTCTTGGTCTCCTTGCTATTGCCTTCTGTTCTTCTTTTTTTTCTTTCCCTTTCTGTTATACTCTTTTTGTCTCGTCCTTTCTCTCTTTCGTTCTCTCTCCGTCTTTCCTCACCTTTTTTTTTTCGTCCCCTTTTCTTCTAGCTACTGCCTATTTATAAGCTTAGAATGGTTGTGGAGAGTGGCATGGCAGTTTGTAAGGGGAACGATGGCTGATCATGGGGAGTGAAGTGTGGAGGTCATGGGGAGTGGAGAGTAGAGATCGTGGGTGCAGGAGTTGTGAGGAATGGAGACTGTGATCTTGATTATGTTTTGTGGAGAGTGGAATAGTGAGAAAATGGAGCAGAAGTTGTGGAAGTTTGTGGGGAAGGTGGTGGAGAGTGGGCAGTTACAGGGAGAGTGGAAGTCCGAAAAGAATGCTGATCGAGGGACGTTTGTCGCATGCCACTATTCCTTTCTTTCAAAAGAAAGAAGAGGAACAGTGGAATGTACCAATTAATTCACCTCGCGAACGACAGGTCGTCCATGGCCAAAATGTCAAGTTCGTCCTGTCGTTCGCTCCCTCCTTCATTTTGATTTTTTTGTGATTAAGCCATTTTCGATAATTATTTTAATCCCTTAAGTTTCAATTGTTCTTTATTCTCCCTTAATTTCCATCCATAGTTTCCCTACCTTTCTAGTATTTATAAATTGACCCTTCATATTTTTAAATAAAATCACAATTAAATCCTTAAAAGTAAAATTGATCAATTTCTCTCTTTTTTTTCCTTTTTTTTCATTTTCTTTTTTTTAACTCTTTTTTTTAACAATAATAATAATAATAATAATAATAATAATAAATTTGTAACCCAAATTTGAGTTATGATAGTCACCGTAAATAAATCTCCTTTTCAAATCATATCTCACAAAACTTCGATTGTTCCTTTTTCAAAATTTTTAGTTGTCTTTGTTTTTCCTTTCTATGCCACTACAACAAACACAAAATGGATTTTCACTCAATTCTATATTTTTTCCTTCGATATAGTCCCGCTCACTTAGGCTATCGATGTCTTGATAGAAAAAATCACATTTACATTGCCCATTATATATGTTTCATTAAAACCATTTTCCATTTGTTGAAATAAAACATTCCATTAGTACTCCTGTCTAAGTCGAATCTTTTTTCTCCCTTTAAGCATGTCTTTCGATTCACTCTCACTCTGTTTCTTGTACAAGTTAGCATCACTTTGTGCCTCTTTTGGTTCCTATGTCCCTAACCCAAAACATTACCTATTTACCATACCAAGTTGCTACACCTACACATGAGCTAACCAAACCAATAGACATAATAAAAGAAATGCCAAGCCTAGTCGACCCTCGGCTCGTGCCTACTATCTCAACTCAAACCATGCCCAATAACATAACCATACATACTTCACTCCAAACACCTATACCTAATAGCCCACCTCATACCCAATCCACATGCCCATAGTAATACCTAATCCTTACATAAACCTACGACTCAAAGCCTATTTAGCCTCCAAACTCATACCTATTGCATCAACATAGCTCTTGAACCATAACCCAGCCCAAAGCCCATTACTAGCCAAGCTCGTGTCTCTAAATACAACTATTACACACTCGCTTATCTCCATCACCTAACAATCGCACACTCGACTCTCCTTCTTTCTCCCATTCCCCTATTTCTTTTCCAAAATCAAACTGCCTTGTTGCCTCTCCAGTTGCAACTTCATCAACCTCACCTAGTGGATTAAATCTAGTACTAGATTTCAACCATTATACTTTAGACCATTCAAAGACCGACCCCTCTACAACTCGTATCCTTTAGAACCCATCTCATGGTACTCGTTACATGACAAAGACCTCTAAATCGAATGCCTCTATTATCAATGTTGAACCTATGGTCCCCGAGGCTCTTTCTTGCTTCTCCGAAACAAGCAAGCACTTATCATGACGAGTAGTTATGGCATCCGAAATTTTAGCTCTACTCCATACAGTATTTGGTCCTTGGTCCCTCCTTCTCATTCTATGAACATAATTAGTAATAAATGTATATTCAAGACCAAAAAAAGAGGGATGTAAGCATTGAAAGGCAAAAGGCTTGATTGGTTACAAAGGAGTATAATCAACAAAAGGGACCGAATTGTGAGGAAACTTTTAGCCCAATGGTTAAACCCATAACGATTCATTGTGTTTTATCCCATGCTATGTATTTTGGTTAGGCAATACAATAATTGGATGTTCATAACATTTTTCTCAATGGTACTCTACGTGAATCGATCCGTATGACTTAATCGAATGGTTTTATGGATGCTAATTATGCTAACCATGTTTTCCAATTGCATAAATCACTTTACAAGCTAAAAAGTCCCCTAGAACATGGTTTTCATGCCTCATTGATTTTTTAGTTGAACTTAGTTTGTTGGTTCTAAGATGATAGCTCACTCTTCATTTACAACGAGTAATAGTTATAGGGTTTTTTTGCTTGTTTATGTAGACAACATCATTATTATAAGGAATGATCTATTGTTTCTACAACACATTATTCGGACTATGAACTCTAGATTTTCCACAAGAGATCTCGGCTCCGTAAGTTTTTTCTTAGGCATTGAGGTAATACACACCAAGAATGGTATCCTTTTATCATAGCAAAAATACATTTTGGATTTATTAGCCAAGCATGGCATGACAAATTATAAACCAGTTTCTACCCTAATGCCTACCACTTCTAAGTTGACAAAGGATTCTCGCTCTAGCTTTTGAAGATGTTATACTATATAGACGAAGTTATTGAGGGCCTTCAATGTACTACTCTAACCAAATCAAATATTGTATATGATGTTAACAAAGTTTGTCGGTTCATGTATTCTCCTACCACCGATCGTTGGATTACTGCTAAATAGATTCTTTGATATCTCAAGAACATTGCATCTCTTAGTTTGTACCTTCGTAAACATATGTCTTATACCCTCACTCGGTTTTTCGGACTCGACTAGACGGGTTCTTTAGATGATAAAAAGTCTATATGTGGTTATGCTATTTACATTGGTCTAAATATAAACTTTAAGAAATCGTCTAAATAGAAGACTATTTCTAGAAGCTCTACCGAAGTAGAGTATAAAGCGAGTTGTTGATCTAGCTATTGAAATGACTTGGGTCACTTTCCTTCTTGGTGAACTAAGAGGTCTCACCTTCAAAATCTATCATCTAGTGCAATAATATTGGGCATGTATCCGGCAATAAATCTATTATTCTATGCATAGACAAAACACATCGAAATTGATTTTCATTTTCTTAGAGACATGGTTTCAAGAGGGAGTCTTAAGTCCTTTTCATCTTTATTCAAGATCAAATTGGTGACGTTCTTACTAAATCATTGTCAATGTCATGATTCTTTTTTTATATGACAAACTCTCTATGAGTGAAAAATCATATTTGCTTTGTGGGAGAGTGTTAAGACACACTTCTACTATGGATTATTACTCTTCTCTAAAGACTTCTAGTATCATGATGAATACTCTTGCTATCGCTATGAGGACTCCTACTGCTATCGTCGTGAGGACTCCTATTCGTTGCTATTGTTATTGTCGTATGGACTCCTACTACAGCCTATATCTCCAACCTCTCCAAAGTCTCCGGTATATATTCAACAACTAGATAAATACATAAGTTAAATAGTGCTATTATCTTATGTATATATCTTTTATACTTATCTACTATAACTTATTCAATATATAAAATAAAGTATCACAAAATCATATATACAAGGAAAAATATTCGCAAGCTAAAGACTTTCTCCCGGCACTTTACATTTAGGGCTCGTTTGATAACCCATTTAAGTAACTTAAAAGATTAAGTTATACTACTTAATATAAAAAGTTTGTTTGATAATCTAAATAACCTCATTTTAAATTTTAAATTCAGTAAAAATCTACTTAATTAGATAAGTTAAAATTTGTAACTTGTTACTTTTTGATTAACACACTCGGTTAAATGATTTTTAAAACTTTTTAAATATGACTATAATACCCCGATATATTTTTATAACTTCATTTATACAAATCAATTAAAAAACAATCTTTACTCTCCTATTGCTAAAATAGAAAAAAACCTTTTTTTATTATCGGTGCTTCCATCCTATCATCATCAATAAGCTATTGGGAATCGAAACTCTAAAGTCTAATCCCGTGTAATTTTCTTTCTATTTAATTATGGGTGAATTTTCCTTTTATTTCATTATGGGTGATTTATCTTTATGTCCGTTGATATCTTGATTTTTTTTGTATAATTATTTTGTTAGATCAAGCTCGTGTTATAGATTAAGCTATTTTAGTTTCTAGGTTTTGATTAAAGGTCAAATCTTCATGATTAATTGAAATTTTCACATGAAAATTCGAGTCATGAGCAAGGAGTTTTTATGATTTAAAAAGACATACGATTCTTGTTATAGAAACACAATCCGGAATTTAACTTAGTTGAAAAATCGAGTAAAGCCTTACATAGTTTTGCTTATCTTCTATCATTTTTCAAAATTAAGGTATTCGGGGAAGAAAATTAGCGTAAACATTGAATTAAGAGACTACAACATTCATATTTTTCAACAAGTACCAGCTTCATGTTCGAAACTAATAAAATCATTCAAACAACACACCGAAAATACCCCAAACCCAATGATAAACCCACATCATATATGCTCCTCTTCAAGTAATCTTGACCTTAATATTCTTAGGCTTCTTAGACTCGAAGGTGGTAATTTCTCAATAGTAACGATCAAAAACCCATCTTCATAAACAGCAGAAATAGCATCAATATTAGCATTCTCTCGATAACATAAATTTCCTCATAAACTTACCAACCTCCTTTCCATTTTCACATACTTGGCTCCTTCTTTCTCCTCCCCACGTTTCCTCTCTCCATTAATAACCAGCATATAGTCATCCTCAACTTGAACTTGATGTCCCCCGACTTCAATCCGAGCATGTCAATGATGAACACAAAGAGTTTGGATCTTTCACATCGGTTGGTTCTTCTATTGGAAAAATGCCTCTCTCTCTCTCTCTCTCTTGTTGGTTGTCTGGATCTATTGGAAAAATATGAAAAGAATAAAAAAAAGGTTTGGGTTGTTGATTCTTCTACTGTGGGATATTTGTTAAAGGGATTAAGGTTTTTACACGGGATGTTGGGGTGTGGAGAAATAGGGATGAAAAGGAATTTTCTGGAGAGATGTACAATGAAGGGTTCCAGTGGTTTTTGTATGTTGGGCTAGGCATAAGTGTTGGGTCTAAAATGCTAGAATCATTCGAGAGCCCAAACTCGTTAATGGTCCGACCGAAAATTGTTTTTCCAAAGAAACAAACCAAGCGAAGCTCGCCACTCGTACCTCATTCCATGGCTTAATGATACATACTAATTTATTAATAATTTATGTTTATATATGTAAAGTATCCAAAGAGATAATATAATTGCCATTTGTCATTTGATATTAAACTCGTAGCTAGCGTAAGCCTTGTCCTTTGATAAAAGCATATTGAATTTTTGTAATTTTCACATTAAGTTTGATGAGGAAAGTGATCACGGATTGCACTTATCAATTAATTAAATGCATGTGAAAACAACCAAAAGGGGATGGATTGTGCATCAATGCATTAATTTCTAATTTATTTCCTCCCGTACGTAGATTAAAACACTACTTAGACATGGAAATTAACTAACCCTAAAAAAATACTACGAGACAAAGTAATGAATGCTAGCATGATAGGTAGACTGCAAGTAATTATATTATTATACTTGAAAAAAGGAATGACAAGCAAGAGAGATTTGACATATACTCGTGAGCCGTGTCCACTTTTCCTTATTAATTTATAGTCACGCAGCTTGTTTTGTTGTAAAGCTCAAATGTTTGGTAGGAATTTTTTATCTTTTTCCTATCAACAGTGGTTATCAATTCAATTAAATTGACCATATAGACGCATGGTCTATGATCTACTTGCTTGCCATCACATTTCAAATCACCACTTAACATGATCATATGTTTGCATGATTATATATCATTCGGTTGATTTTAAGTTTTTAGGACCTTATTTTAATTATTTTTTAAAAACAAGGTAGTTTTTATGGTGTAATTTTGAGTTCTAAGATTATAATGATGTGATTTTTTATATAATCATTTTATTATATGTAGGATGGCTTCGAAGATAGTGCTAGAACCAATTGGAAGGACCCCAAAATAGTAAAAAAAAAAAATTGGATACATGCATTGAACAAGTGAGTATTCTAGAAAAAAATAGAGGGAGCTTAAAAAAAGAATCATAGGACAATGTAGTGAAAGCATTCGAGGAAAATAAAAGACATTAAGTTTTCTAAAAAACAACCGAAGAATGAGTGGATGTAATTGAAAAGGAAGTACATAGTATGGTCAAAACTAATATATAAAAGTAGACATGGTTATGATCCAGGTGACTAGTACTCGTCAATTGGACCGCACAAGAGTGGGACGATTATGAGCAGGTATTTTTTTATACATTTTATTCCCTATTAAAGCTTAAAGCAATTAATCATATTATTGGTTTGATATATTTATGTAACGTAATAATAATAATGTGAAACAATTTTGTTATGTTGGTTTGTAATTTTCGGATGAGATGAAATCATTATTTGATAGAATTTCAGCCATTGTAAAAAATGGTTAGGGTCCTTCTAAAGACAGAGTGCCTATAAATGTAGTTTCTTCTAAAGAATCCATGCAGACAAATAGCGCTAGTTCTTCTATGCCAACCGAACTAATTGGAACAAATTTTGAAGAGTTTATTGATTTGGAGTCTAATTCTCCAACTCTATTTTCAACTCCAAGTGATCAAATGAAAAAGCTCGAAAAACGTTGAAAGAAGAATAAAAATGATGACATTGACGATCAATTGATGGCAATACTAAAGACACTCGGAAGGATCCAATGGACCTAGTGTAGAACGGTGCGATAAGAAGTTAGATGAGATGGAGACTTAAGGAATGGATGACCCTTTATATCTAGCTGCATGTACTATCTTTTGTGAAAGCAAAGCATATCGAGAGCAATGGATAAATCTTTCTCAAAAGCCGGAGGAAGTTAGAATTGGATGGATCAAAATGGTTACTAAAAAGTTGGCAGCTTTTTAATTGAATAGTTTTCCTTGTGATTTGTGTTTAGTATTTTAGAATTTTTTTTTATTTGGATTTTCTAGAATTTTCATAAGAATTATATTTTGAATAAAAGTACTCCTATTTAAATATCTTTCCTTTAATTAGATTTCTCATCAATTTTTTGATACATGCTTTTGTTTTTTTTAATTAACGAGCATGTTGACATATAGGCAAAAAATGAGTTTAAGGATTATTATGTTGCTTCTTATACCGAAAAAGATTAATAGAAGACGTGTTGAAAGAAGACCGGATACAGATTTAGCTATTGAAAGACATGCATATATGCTAGAGATCCTTCATGGAAATCCAGCTCATTGTTAAGAAATGTTGAGAATGAAAAAGAAGCATTCTCAAATTTATGTGATTACTTCAAACAAAGAGGATGGTTGAGAGATAGTCGTTATATTAAGGTTGAAGAAAAATGACAATGTTTTTGATAACTTTAAGTCAAAATTTTCAAAATCGTGTCGTGAAACGAAGATTTAATCATTCAACTCAAACGAGTGTATCACTACTTTCATGGAGTATTGCAAGCAATGTTAAAGTTTGCAAGAGAAATGATTATACCTACTACATTTTATCCAGCATTTAAGTCAACTTCAACATCATCGTCGACTTTGTCAAGTATTTCAGAGTTATACAATTAGCTTTTTATTTCTAATTTTATTGGTTTGTGTATTTTAAAACTAACTAATTTTTTTATTTATGTATAGTGGTGTTGTAGGTGCACTTGATGGGACTTTAATTCGTGTTGTTATATCATCCGAGCAACAAGTCCCATATAGAGGAGAGGATAAAGAGATTGCTATCAAAATGTCCTTGCAATATGTGATTTTCATATGATTTTTACTTTTGTTTGGGTTGGATGAGAAGGTGTAGCACATGATTCAAGAGTATTAACGTAAACTATGCGTGACTCATCAAATAATTTCCCCATCCTTCCACTCGGTAGGTTGTTTCCATTCTTATTAAATTCTTTTTTTATAAAAAATTCCCCTTAAGTTTTTTTTTTTACGTTATTAATAAATGTATTATGTCAATAATTTTTATATTTTTCATGCAATTTATTAGATCAACATTTGATGGCAGTATAAATATTATCTTTGTGATGCTACATATGTGCATACTAGAGGGTTTATGGCACCATATCGTAATACGCGATATTGGTTATCCGGTTTTTGTAATGGTCATCATCCAAGATCAAAAGAAGAAGCATTTAATCATGCACATGCAAAATTGAGGAATGTTATTGAACGAGCATTTGGTGTTCTAAAAGCAAGGTTTCCAATTCTAAAGACAATGGCCCCATATCCATTTACAGTTCGGAGAGATATTGTTATTGCATGTGTTGCAATAGATAATTATCTTCGAAAAACAATTGTTACTCGATGACTTTTTTGAACAATTTGATGGTGTGTGATGCATCAAATGTCAAATGTTACCGCAAATTTTCCATTCATTG